CTCAAAAATAGTTTTCCGCATTTTTGCGGCAAAGAAAACCGACCAAAGTTGGTCGGTTTCGTGAAAAAAAATTAAAAATTAAAATATTTTGAAAAACTGACCAACTTTGGTCGGTTTTTTGCCGGTTTTTTTACCGACCAAAGTTGGTCGATTTTTCTTGGTCTGTTTTTGCCGAATTTCTAGTAGTGAAGACGTAAAGACGTTCGTTCAGAAATGCGACAAATGCCAGCGCTATGCACAGTTGGTACACCAACCGACGGAACTCTTGCATTCGGTAAGGTCTCCATGGCCATTCATGAAATGAGGATGGATAAAGTTGCTCGCTGCCACCGGGTCCCGGAAAGGTAAGATTCCTTTTAAGTTTAACCGATTACTTTACTAAATGAGTTGAAGCAGGTCCTTACCAAAATATCGGTGAGCGCAAAGTGGTCGATTTCCTATAGGAACACATAATCTTCCGATTTGGAATACTGAAAGAGATTGCCTGCGATAACGCACCATGGTTCATAGGCTCCACAGTCACAAAATTTCTAGAAGATTTGAAAATCAAGAGGATTACATCTTCACCATACCATCCGAGCGCTAATGGACAGGAGTCAACTAATAAGGTGATTATCCAGAACCTCAAAAAGAGGTTAGAAGTTGCTAAAGGCAAATGGCCTGAAGAGTTACCGGGTGTGCTATGGGCATGTCGGGCGACGGTAAAATTGAGTATGGGAGAGACACCTTTTTCTCTCGTATATGGCGCAGAAGCTCTAATCCCCGTGGATGTAGGTATAACTATAAATAGTAGGCTCAACAGCCTTTGTAAGACACGAAATTCTTGGCAAAACTTATGTTGTATTACATTTTCGCTCTCAATTAAAACAACTTTATTTGCTTTTTATATTGTTCTTATTTCTTTCCTCAGAAGCGTTGTCACGGAGCCAGGCTTGCCATTTTCTTCAATATTAATCGCTAAGTCTTACTTTTAATCTTGTTTATTTACCATTTTTGGATCAAGTCAGTTCGTTTATCTATAAACCACGTAACAAATTCAAGCGTAGCGTTTTACAGGTATACAGTACTGCTTATGAAATAAACGGGGTTAAAAAATCAAAAGTGACAACGAAGTGTCTTATTTTTGTCATTCACTCGATATATATTGAAATCTTTCGTACTGTGTAAAAGGAAAATCGCCGACCCCACACGTTTTGTGCACGTGTAGTAGCTTTTCGTTGGAATTTTTTTTTTTTTTTGACAAAAGTTAATTATGGACTAAATCTGTTGATTTTGTAATACATTAAGAGGTCGTTTGGTAGCCGGTTAGAAGAAAGGTTATTCATGTATAAGGGGTAACATAACTTATACCATGTTTGGTAGACAATAGTTATTTTGTATAAAATTCTGCATAACTAATACCATGTTTGGTTGACATTTTTCAATTATGCATAAATAATACATGTATAATTTATGAGTCAATCTGTGTATTATTTTATGCGGGGTAGAAGATGGAATAACTAATACATGTATTAGTAATACATGGATAAAATACTGAAATGACAAATTTACCCCTATCACTTTACACATAAGGCTTCCTTATTTCTCTGCCAACCCGTCAACAGGTTTCCTAACTAAATACCAAAACTAAGAAGTGAAAATCAAATATGTCTAAACTTCACATAGTTCAGTAGTATATATGACGAAGAAGTGAAAGTAACACCCAGAGTTCCTAACTAAATTGTTTCCTACACAAATGGAAAGAGAGAAAAAACAATGCAAAAGAAGGCCAGGGGTATAGTTGTAAACAAGCATTTTACTTTAAATTTATATAATGTATATCAATTTCTAATACAACAAACCAAACATTCAAAAAAATAATCTCTGCATAACTAATACCTGCATAACTAATCCCTGCATTACTTATCCCTGCATAACTAATCCCTGCATAACTAATACATGTATAACTAATACCTGCATAACTCTAACCGGAAACCAAACGACCCCTAAGGATGTTTTTAGCTAACCATGTGATAGGTTAAGGATGTACAAAGACGCTTCGCTGTCCTCCGACTTTGATTAATCCCACGCAACCTATCACAGCTCCCTCTTACTTTTCAATGCTTTATCTATACCATCTTCATCAGATTTAGTTTCTTTGACTCAGCAAGAAATAAATAAAATTCGCTGAAAAAAATAAATAAAATAAGGTTGTTTCTTTAAATCAGTGACCTAGTCCTCGTTGTCTCCACTTTGACTTTACTCTATAAAGGGCGGCCCAATGTACTAAGCCCTTGCTATGCGCGGGGTGTGGGGGGATGGGCCGTACTACAGGGGTCTATTGTACGCAGTCTTGCCTTGCGCTTCTGCAACAGTTATTTCCACGACTCGAATCCGTAACCTCCTAAGGAAGTCACATATCAACAACTTTGGCCCCGTTTGGCCATGAGTTTTGCCAAAATAAATTTGGGATTTATTTTCAAAACTCATGTTTGGCCATAAATTTTGCCAATATTTTGGCCAAATCCCAAATCCCAAATTTCAAATCCCAAAATCAGCTATTGAGCTGATTTTGGGCCAAAATCCCAAAACTTGGGAATTATATACATGTTTTCCCAAAATAAAGTTGGAAAATATGTTTTGAAAATGTATATCCAAACGCATTTTCATCTTCAAACCAAACTTCACCCAAATCAGATTTTTCAAAACAAATTTGTGATCTATGGCCAAACACTAGCTTTATCAGTTACACCAAGACTCCCCTTCTTTTGACTTTTCCCTATAAAATGAACAAATGTCCTCCTCTTCAATGTACCCCATTATCTTTCTGCCTAAGAAAGACCAATTCTCCTTTCACAAAAACTCTCTCTAGCTATTCAACCCCCAATTTAGCGTTAGGAGATGAGTTACTACAATCAACAACCTCCTGTTGGTGTCCCTCCACCACAAGGCTACCCTCCACAAGGGTATCCTCCACAGGGACCGGGGTACCCGCCCCAGTATGCCCCTCAGTACGCGCCACCTCAACAACAACAACAACAATCATCTGGTGGCGCGGGACTCATGGGAGGATGTTTGGCTGCTGTGTGTTGTTGCTGTCTCTTAGATGCATGCTTTTGATGATCGATAACGATGGCTGTGCAAGTTGGTTGAACCATTATATTATGGCTGTGTGATGGGGTTTCATTTCATTTTTTATGGATTAATTGTCTTAGAATATTCTTGACTTTCTTTTTGTGCTTGTCCTTTTGGTGTCTTGTTCTTGACTAATGATATTTGAAGTTCAACATCAATGCACCTTGATGTGCGTTGTGTTAGATTCTATTGTTTGTGTTTTGGACCTCAATATGTGAATGCACTTTACTTTAATTTGGTTAAGAATTTATTGCTTCAAATTTGGCTGTATATACAGATTCTCTTATCAACAGTCAAGTTAATAATTACTTCAGGCTACAAACTAGTCAAAGTCAAGGTCGGTCCGAGGGATAAGGGATAATTAATCCGAAATTAAATTTGAAATGAGTTTATCCCATATTTATTTGGGATAAAATTGCGGTATAACTAATCCCGGATTAGTTACCCCGGGATTATAGTGTTATTTTTATCTTTATAAGGATGAAATAACAATGCCGTAATAACTAATCCCGAAATAATTCATCCGGAAATAACTTATTTCCCAACCAGAAGTAGCTATAAAGTTGAGTGGAAGAAGAGATGGAGAAAGAAGTAAGTGCTAATGGACTTCCATCTTTTGCTTACGAAGCAGGAGGTTGTATTTGTAGATAGAAAGGTAAAAAGTTTCAAGTCTGGACTCGAAAAAAGGCCAAACGTACAACTTTAAGAGATTTGTTCTTCACTTCTTCCTTCTGAAAAAGGAAAATAATTTGGAAAAAAACAAAAAAACAGATCGTGGATGAAGTGTGCACCCACCAACTCAACATGGAACCAATTATTTCAGTGTGAGGTTACCTTTATTTTCAACGGAAAAGGTCCAAATTTGCCTCTAAATTTTGTGAAAACAATTAATTATGTCATCTGTTAATAGTTGAATTTAAACATGTCTTCAATGTCATCAGAATAAATCACATATACCCTTATTTCCACTATTTTCACGAGGTTCAGGGGCATTAATGTCTTTTAAAATAGCGCCTCACTTTGCTTAGTGATGAATAGTTCAACTTAAGGCTTGACAAGATTATGGGATGCCTTGTTGTTGTTGTTGTCATATGTTTGTGAATTTTACACATGATAACATACTTATCAATATTAATGATTTATAACACGTGACCAGGAGGTCACGGGTTTGAGCCGCGAAAACTGCCTCTTGTAAAAGTACAGGGTAAGGCTGCGTACGACAGACCTTTGTGGTCTAGTCCTTCCCCGGACCCCGTGCATAACGAGAGCTTAGTGCATCGGGCTGCCCTTTTTTAACATACTTATCAGTTATCAATATGTAAACTAGTATTCTCTCAGTTTTATTTCATCTTACACACTTTCCTTTCATTTATGCAAAAGAGAATGACAATTTATATTGAGAAATAATATAATTTTAAACTTTTTATTTTATTCTTAATAAAATAATTTATAACCACATAAATATTTATGATCTAATTTTCTTTAAACTGCAGGTTTCAAAAACGTTCTTTACTTTCTTAAACACATGTCCTATTAAAAGCTTTCACATCTACAACTCACTTTGAAAACAAGATGCGCTCATGTGTGAGGAGGGGGAAATGAAAGTAAGAACCATGCGCATGGATGAAAGAGTGCGCTTTGAGGGAAGAGGGGAAGAAAGATAATAGAAAGGCTAAGTGAAGAGACTTCTTTAACATTCTTCTTACCTCTTCTTGCTTATCACCTTCTTTTCCTTTCCTCGCATCCTAATAAAATAAAGATCAAGACGAGTTTCTCTGGGTCCAGATATCTCCCTTCGAGATCACCAGCATCGGTCTAAATAGCTTAAGTTTTTGAAGAAAAAGGTAGAGACGGAAGTGTGGTTGAAGCAAGACCATAAGAAGTACCTTTAGCATTTCAAGTATCTGGTTCAGAGCCAGGACATCTTTGGCATATCCATCAGCAACGCCTTTGGCATGATAGGCATGCCGCATATCTTGATCCATCGCTAGCAGAGCCACCGAGGGAATCGAGTGAATGACTTTAACGATCATTTTTGACATAGCACTTTATTATCCTGACGACTCAAAGCAAGATCGAAACCCATCTCTCTTTTTAAAATTGATTAATTAACAACTCACCAAGCAAGGGCACGTTGTACGGTAGTAGCCAGTTCAAGGAAGTGAAACTTTGAACTATTGGCATATCAAATAGTATATGGCAATTCTTGCTTATTACTCTCATCGTTCACTTTTTACTTATCCACTATACCAAACATATATATTCACTTTTACTTGTTCATTTAAGCAAATTAAGAGAAAATTATTTTTTTCCTATTTCACCCTTATCATTAATATTCATTTCCCAAGATTTTTTAAAATTCTCTAATTATTATGGTTATTATAGTAAAAAAAAAAGTGGAGTACTTTTTATTTATTAATTTCGTAAAAGGAGTGCAAAATCTATTGTGAACAAGTAAAAGTGAACAAAGAGTATAACATACTGTCAAATTAAATGTTTGACAAAGCAGATCGATGAACTTCAAATGGATATTCCCTTGGCAATTGTCTGATTCCTCCTTCCTATTTCCCATAAAATTTGTCACGACCCAAACCTATGGGCCGCAACGAGCACCCGGAATCTTACTTAACCAAGTACCAACACAACATATATTTCTTATTGTACTTTCAATGACAAATGGGCCAAACGGGCCGTCATGGGCTGACCAGAATATCATAGGGGAATACTCAATATAGGACGACCCAACCTGATATAAAAACTTATACATGTGATATACGGGCCTATAAGGCCAACATGATCATTTGTAAACTCAAAATATAGGCTGGCAAGGCCATACAAGCATTCGTATACATGACATATGTCTACAAGCCTCTAAGAGTACACACTTAACATAAAGGTTGGGACAGGGCCCCGACATACCAAACAATACGTCTAAATCATACTGACCAAACAATCCACTCCAGAGCAAATGGAGTGCACCAACATCTTTCGCTGAGCTGATAGCCTAATTGGAGGACTCTCAACCTGTCTATCGGGACCTACGGGCATGAAAAGCAGCGTCCCCAGGCAAAAGGGACGTCAGTACAAATAATGTACCGAGTATGTAAGGCACATAAATGAGTGCATAAAAGATATGGAAGAAATATAGAGTAAATGACTCAACCTGTAAATCTGGATAACTCTGTAAATCATGAAATACTTATAGTGTCATGCATATGCATATGAATATCATGTCGTACATAGGTACATGTGTTCATAACATCATCCAGCCTTAAGGGCATCCCATCATATCATCTCGGCCACTTTGGGCAAAATTATCAACGTATACCAGCTGATCAGGTGGTGGTGCGTATATAACGCCGTAACCTTTTCCTATATTCCATATAAATATAATATACATATATATGCATATATAACTCCATCTGGTCATGGATCAATGTATGTATGAATGAATGTAATGCATGAGAAATACGTCAGTAAAATCTTTCGGGGTGTCATAAGACCATTATGCCTTTGATTAATATCATGAAGTAAACTTTTTTCATCTTACGTATTTTTCTGAGACTGATCGAGTCCAACCCTACACCACTACAAAGTGGCAAGAGCGGTCGATGCAACTTTTACCCAAAAAGGTCGGGATCGAATCCACAGGGAGCTAGAATATTTGGGATTTGGATTCCTATCTAAACTAGCAGTGTGTAGTGTTCTTGATTACACTTCCAATCATAATTGTTTGTTTGTTACTTCTAATCTTATACTAATGATGTGCGAAATTAAGCTAAGTATAAATGCTTGTAAGGTTTTCTAAATGGTTAACGAGGCACTAGGGAAGTGACTTTCTCCTAGGTGAATACTTGACGGGTTCTAAAGACTAAGGCAAAGTTGTTATGTTTGGGATCGCGATATAGCCAATGCACGACACTACTCACTCTAACCTCTCGGTAGCTTGAGTGACTTTGCCCTAATTGACTTTCTCAAGACCAATTGGGTGTCAAAATTGTGCATGCAATATAGGCTCAAGTCGGGTATTACTATCTCTAGATTTAACCCTTTAATTGGGGCTATCAATTCTCTTGAATACGCCCCAATTCCTTGTTGGACTGCTTTTCCTAGACTCAAGCTCTCTTTCTCAAGAAGAGCCCAAATCAAAAAGGTACAAATTAGTGTTTGCAACCACTAATTAAACATGGAAAACACAAATCAGTTCAAATATCAACCACCCATAAACATCTAAGCCCTAAAATAAGAGACCCATCAAATACCTACACTAGGGTTGAGCCACAACCCTAGCTAATGGGTCTAGCTACTCATAATAATGGAAGAAATCAGATATTTAGATGAAGAATAGCCCATATAATATAATTACAAGCTAAGATTTAAAGATTCAATGTTGAACTAGCTAAAAAATTACTCAAAATAGGTCCAAAACGGCTTTCACGTGCTCACCTATGATAAAGATACCCTAAAAATCTGGAAAAAAAAGTATTTATACAAGGCCGAATTTTCTGGACAATAATACCCATGTCGGAGGTATTGCAGTCCGCAACAAATGGAGCGCGGCCGCGATGGGGCTTTTAGCTTCAATTTTCTGTTCTCTGAATCCAGCCACCGCGGACTGCAATAAATGGATCGCGGCCGCGGTGTCTTCACCGCGGACCGCGAGAAATGGAATGCGGCCGCGATGTCTTGAATCTTCCAAACTTCACATTCTCTGAATCCCTTCTCCGCGGACTGCAACAAATGGAATGCGGCCGCGATGAGGCTACCACGGCCGCGAAGAATCGATCGCGGACCGCGTTGCTTGAACTTCCAAAATAGCATCCTCTCTGATCTTTGCCACTGCGGACCGCACTAAATGGACTGCGATCGCGGTGGGTCTGTTGCAGCCATAGTGGATTTTATGCTGCAGCGGTGTTTTGACTTGTCCTTGGCACTTGTGCAGGTTTCACTCCTTTTTAAGCTGGTTTTGACTTCTTGTCACTTTTTTGACCAAACACTGCAAAAAAGCACAACATGTAAGCTTTCGGGATTACTTGTATACATTTTTAATCCAAAACTCAAGCAAAAAGGAGTATAAAATAAACTAGAATCCTTAGTTATCAGAGACCCATGAACAGATGATAGAATAATGAGACACGTGGAGAATCAAGAACATAGGCATCTCTAATATTTCTATGAATAGAGTCATTTATGGAAGTTGTGCATATGCGCGTTTCGTTTGTACCACATGGATCATGCCAAAATAAAGAAGGGATAGCCTTAACATACCTGAGCCGATTCTCTTGACAATCTCTCTAACACACATCTTTTGCAAAGAACACATAACGGCGGATCGAAGTAGGGAAAAATTCGTATGATATTCTTGAGAAAGATTGCACTGTACTTCTTTAGAATCGCAAAATCCCACATTGCTAAATATTAAATAGTCTTGTATGAGATTGGATTGTAGAAAATCATATATGCAATTTGTATGAAACTATACATGGTTTTGGCAATATACCAGCTCCAACCATTGTCAAATTTGGCTTAATTTTGTGCTAAAATGATGTTTGTATCTTCTAATCTTAAGGGGGGTAAGCAAGCATTAGCTTGCATATGCTAAAGTGGAGATTTGTATGCAAATCTCTTTTAGAAGACTAAAGAGGGGATGAATCACTTAATTGACACCTTGCTACATAATACATGAGTCACAAATCACTTAATGGACACCTTGCTACATAACACATGAGTCACTTAATGTATTTCATGTGGCTGCCACGTTTTGCCTTAGTCATTATCCAAAGGCTTCAATTAATCAACCACTAATTATTAATTAATTTGCTAATTCTCCCATTATCCAATAATTCACATAATTAAGGATTATCTCAAATTACTTAAAATACTTGCTCACTTTTAACATACCTTGTACACCTTACTATCATGGTCATATGGTACCTTGTATGGCACTAGTTCATAAATAGTGGGTATTATAGCTCGGACCGTATTTATCCCAAATTGTCAAATTTTGACGAAATTATTTTCTTCGATCCGCTTACCCCCTCACCTTCACGAATTTACTCGTCACTCGTTTGAAATAGCATAATGCTTATACTCCCAAAATAATCTCATTCCCGAACTTATGTCGATTAGCTTACGATGGAACCTTAACGTACGAAAATATGAAATGTAACATCTCATTTTCGAGCTTGGCGTACTTCCATGTACGAAAACATGGGGTGTAACATCATTCCCCCCTTTGGAACATTCGTCCTCGAATGTTGACTGATGCACTTATCATTCTCATAACCCACAGATCTTGCGAATACTTTAATACTCTTCTCGCCATTTAGGCAACTGTTCTTTGAATAAATCCAAAGGCCAGGGCATTCCCCCCTTTAGGCCTCTTTCTCGCACCATAGTCTGTGGTCGACATTCTTCCAATCTCATAACTCTTACTACCTTCTGTCATGCAGCATGTAAGACTTTTTCCTTGTATATGCGCCTATGCAACTCTTCTCTCCTTTTTCCTCCAGTTTTTAGCCACTCACTTTGCAAACATATATAGAGCTTGATAAAATGTCCCTCTGGGCATCTATAGGTATACTGAAGTTCTTCGCTCCGTACTTTGTCGAACTTACGAATATTATTACACCTTATTTCATAGATCCGCTTATCCATTCGTATGACTTTACTGCATCTAGGTAGGTCATACTATACCATAACTCTTACTTTAATTTACCATTACTGAGGTCTGCTACCGAACTCCAGGTTACTTTTGTTACTTATCCCGTATGTATAAATCTAAGTCCTTTAATGCTTCCTCATTACTTGTTCATCTTAAGAATGACGACCTAATCTCACCTCATACTTTGTGACTTGTGTCCATCCATTGTTGATTCACCTCAATATTGATCTATAATATACCACTGATAACTTGAAACCTCTTACATAATCACTAGGGCTCACGTCGAATCTTGGAACATTTGAAGTGATTTTTCTGATCCACCTGGGTGATACGATACTATACTTCCATAACCGTATTTCATATCATCCC